TCAGGTTTTAAAGTGAATAATTGCATATACCTATAAAACTTACCTTATCATTCTAATAGTTATAAATAATAAAATTATAAAACAAAATATAATACAAACCACCACCTCAAACAGAAAAAGTCTCCACAGAGCATAGTCGGCCTTTATGGTAAACACTATTATACATTTTATAATTTTTTATATTTAATATATCAATAAATATACAATCAAAGCGTCAATTTGTCGTGAACTCAGCAGAAAAACACCTCTATTTGTTGTAAATGAGTGCATTTTGTAGAAAATTCTTTTTTATATTGAAATTTATTTTATAAAAAATTTAGTTTTTAATTCAACAAAAGTTACAGATTCGAGAACAAAATAGTTAATTGTCGTAAACCCAAATGATTGGCAAGTTGTACGACAATTAAGCAACTTCGACAATTAATATTACGACAAATAGACGCTTTTGACTGTAATTTAAAAAGGTTAAAAAAAACAAGGTGTTTCAATTATTATTTTAAAAGTCTTTTTTTTAATCATTTTTTTTTGTAAAAAAACATTTATATCTAAATAAAATATTTTTGTTTTAAAAATTCTGTATAATTGAGGTTTATTAATTATAAAACAAACCAAATTATTTTATTAGTATAATTATTATAATTAAACAGATTTTAATATTATTAAATTTTCATAACAACTCAAATTACAAACCACATGACAGTAAGGCTTGAATCAGTTTTTTTAAAGAATGTGTTGTTTTATCTTTCAACCCTAGACGATGTCCAGTCTTTTGAATGTGTATGTAAAAAATGCCAAATAGCAATTATTTCTGTATATATCAACCCATATCGCCTTTCCGAGTTATACCCTTTCAATCGAATTCATAAAGTCTTTCCAAAGATTGAAACGTTTTATTTAACATATTGTAGTGATAACATAAAGAAGACGGACGTGAAAGATATTCCACTGATGGAAATTGGGAAATTGACACGCGACAATCCACACAAATATTTAGAACAGACTTGGTTTGCCGAGAAAGTGTCCAAGATGATAGTCACTCAAACAACTTACAAATACGTTTTTAAGAAGATTTCTATTTACAAGAACCTTCAAATAGTGAGTCTTGATTGCATACTCACTTCCGAACATATCGACGCTTTATGTGAACTTCCGTTACTTAAGAAAGTGTATGTACAAGGACAATATTGTTCATTAGAAAAATGGATAGAAAAGGCACTCCAATTTAATAAGATCAAATTCGTTTTTCTTTTATTAGATTATTGGTTTGAAGACTACCAAAAAAAAATTTGTGATGAAAATATCCCACAAAATATGACATTTTTTGACAATGATTTAGACTCAAAATACTTTATGAACACATCTCCAGTGTGTATAGATGTGATTGTAAACAAAGAGAAAAGAACATATTCATTGCAATCGCAGTGGGTCACATCAAATAAAACAATGATTGAGGGCGTCGACAAAATCTCCAAATTGGTTGTTGAAAAACAAGTGCAAGAAGCAAAATTTGTGCAGAATTCACGATCACTCATAAAAATTCCATACGATTTTTCGATGTTTGAGACTTTGACAAAACTCACAGTTCAATACTCATATGGCGGACTTGTATTGCCAAAATTCTGTGTCGACTTAAGCCTGTTAAATTGTCATTGCGATGTCAAACTGGGTGAAGCAAAATTGATGCATTTGATGTTAAAACAAAGTGTACCGACTATGACTGTTGATGTCGATCAAATTAAAACGTTTTTATCAGAAAATTCATCGACTGAAAAATGCACATTTAGGTTCGATGGAAAAAAGACTGAAGGCTTCAAAATAAGTCCAATACTCGACGCTTTCGAGGTCAATTGTAATCGTGGTGCACAGGCTAGATGCATTTCTTGTGTGCATTTACTGTTTGAAGATAGTTATATAACAAAAGGAGGAAAATTGGAAAAAGAAAATGGGGTTATACAGTTTAAAGATAGAAAAAGTAAGTCGTATTTTAATTGATAATGATTGTTGTTAATTTCACAACATTTCCTTTTTTATAACGAATATTAGTAACAAAATAGTTATATTAATTATTTTTTAGACTTATTTTTTGTAAGTAAAAAACATTTTCATTTAATATTTTCATTAAAAAATAAATAAAGTTTCCAATATTTTTTTGTGGCACTGTTTTAAACTTGATTTTATTTTATTTGCTCAAGAAACCCCTTCATAATTGAAACTTGCCAATGGAAAGTTTTTTTAATCAAATAAAGTGTAAATTAAGACTATATTATTTAAGAGGTGGAGAAAAATGTGTTGAAAATAAATATAATATACTGTTTCATTTTGGATTCCTAAATGTTAATCACAAGAGAAATTGTTCGATGTGATTGAGTTTTTAATGTCAGTCAATCAAATTTTCGAAGAGCTGCTTTTTGCACAACACTTCGTGGTTATTTGCTTGTAATCGAAATCAATATTCATTTTTAGTCTTTTTGAAATAAACAATAACAATAATTCAACCTAAATATTTAAAACAAAACTATACCATATAAAAATATTATTATAAGTTTTAGTTTATCAATTTGGTCAATCTTTTAGCATTTTTGTTAGAAACCATTTATTGCAAATACCACTTCATTATTCAAAATTGTGTTTGATGCAATCGTTTTTTACTATAAAATCTACCCTCGGCTTCTATTGGTAAGTTCCTATATCACCGACTTTCATTGTTTATACTGAATGGACACATATTGTTTCCACTTGCAAAATGGATATTAAAAGAAGTTGTGCTAAATGGGTACACAGAAAATATGTAAATAGGTGCACAGATGTGTTGTTTTAAAGTTGTTTTGTAGGCCCTATTAATGCTCCATATTTACAGTATTCATTTACTCGAAGTTATTGTCCTGCATATTATGAATATCAATCAGTTATGTTTTTTTTTAAATAAAAAATCCAAAAAATATTTATATTTTTAATAAAATAATAATAAAAAAAACAATCGGTTTTATTTTTTAACATATTGGTACACCTGTTGTTGTGGAACTTGCTTATACATTTGTGGTGGATATTGTTGTCCAGTTTGATTGTTTTGCTGCACTTGAACCACCATGTATGGTGGAACTATTCTGAGGAGTTTTATGAATGATTTGTGTGGTCATGTTGTGCGTTCTGACGAGATTTGGTATGTTTTTATATAATAAAAAACAAAATGAAAATACATATTTTTTATTTTTCAATAAAACAAAAATTGAATTAATAAATGTCGAATTATTAATAATAAAAGAACTTATAATTGATATTCATTATAAAAGCATGATTGATTTCAAATTGTAACTATGATCGTTTTTTTTAATAAATTATTAAAATAATCTAATAAAATTGTTTTAAATATTATTAATTGAAAAGATGAATGAAAATTAATTTTGAAAAAAAAATGTCAATAAATAAATTATGTTTTGATACTATAACATCATTATTAACATATATGTTGTCAAAAAGTTACTTTATAATAACAATATATATTCATTGTAACAAATTTAAATAATTCCATCATTTAGAATAATATAGATTAATTTGTGATTATTTAATTTTCATCAATTGAGAGTTATTTGAAAATAGAATTACTCTGGCGAGTGCTCGATTTTTTTCTGAGTAAACTATATTTTCTCCAAGTAACTATAATTTACCATTTAAATTATAGTTTCATAATTCATTTAATATAAGAAATAGTATAATTATAGTTTATTATGGTATAATGAAAAAATATTACTGTTGTTTTTTGAAACTACAGATATTAAAGCAGGAAAATATATAATTTGTTTATATTAAACCTTATATAAATGTTATTATTTATTTACAAAAAACAGAAACTAAGAAAAAACGAATTCAATTCGTTAATTGTTAGTCGCATCGACAAATTCTTTTTCTCCATTGACAACAGGAGAAACGTCACCATTGTTAATAAAAGTTTCAAGCAATCTAATAGTTGCTGGTGTAAAAGGAGTCATAAAATACAGTATACTCCGGTTTTAATTTCAGTCCGGGTTTGATTAAATAATCGGGTTTAACACTTAACTGGCCAAAACCAAAATTTTTATATGATTAATAACAAAAAGAAAAAATGCCTTTTTTAAAAAGTTTTTAAAAACGACCAAAAACCCCTTCTTGGCCGAAAAACCGAAAAATGACCCAAAACTTAGTCAAAAATAATAAAAATGAGGACTCAATTACCTAAGATTTGTTTTTGAAGTTAATAATAGCAACACATATTTTTCATAACCACAAAACCCGACACTATCTCACGGAGTATTAAAGTATAACACACATCAATCATACCTTGTTACTCAAATAATAACGTACACTGTCTCAATAAAAAAAAATAACAACTAAAACGATTAGGTAACAACTGATGTTAGCGCTGATCGATTGTTAACTAATTTTTGTGTTTTAAACATACAATCATATTATTAATTGTAATGTAATAGTGTTTTGGTTTATGAATTAAATGATTGAATACAGAAAACTATTCAATATGTCAATAAAGATAAAATGGACAACGTTTCAATAAATGAAACGTTGTCCATTTGACAAAATTTCACATGAAATGAGTTTAAAAATTTGGGGATTAGGAAAAACGGTGAAACACCAGTAAAAATTGTGAAACAATGTTTTGGGAGTGTTTCGAATTGTTTCTTGAAATATACCAGTTTTAATGGTCTAAAAATGCCCATACAATGTTTTCATACTGACTGTATTTGTTAATAGAGATAATAAAACAAATAACAACTAATAATTAATTAATAATTATTTTTTTCGATGATTGTCTTTAGACTTTTCAATGCACTTTTTCTTATTACATCTTTTACAGAAAACACGACTGTGTTTATCACAAAAGGAAGTCCGCATTCTTCACATATTTTCTTGGTTCTTTTTTATCCTCTTTTTTTGCAAAACTGACAAATTTTTCTAATTTCCTTTATCGTTTTTTTTCTTTTGTTTTTTCGGTTTTTCTTACTGGGGTTTTAACAACTTGGTCCCACCATTCAAGCAATCCACAAGAAACAAAAATTTGTCTTTTTTCATCACTTTTTTCATCCCGTGTAATAACCGTTTTTTAATGTAACTTTTACATGATTGTTCGGCCAATTTTATTTAAAAATCACAATGACTCATTTTTTTCGAACATGGAATAAGAATTTGTACAAAAAGAATCAACAATATTTTGTAAAATAACTATATGATATCTTATGGTTTTCATTTTACAAGAATACACCTGACACAATTGGTCAAAAATATCAACTGGTGTTTTGGTAAAGTTGTAAACAATGTTAAGAGCAGATTTACCAATTGTCTCGTCAATAATCAAGATTTTAACTGTATTTGAAACAATAATTACTGTTTTGCTCCGTTTTGGATTGAAAGTAGTTAAAAGAATATTATCTTTTGAATAAAAGCGGATATTTTGTGGATTTTTAGCTTTTTCTTCTTCCATTTCTTTCTTTTCGTTTTCAATTTCCATTTTTCCGTCATTATTGTTGTTTTTTCTTCCTAAAGTTGAATAGCCGGTTCTTTAAATTTTTCCCGTTTTGTACGGTTATTTGGAGCTGGTTCTCCAATTTTTACTATTTTTTCATACAATTTGTCAAATTTTTTATCATTTTTTCCAACTTTTTTTATTCTTTTTTTCTTTTTTTAGAATATTTTTTTTTCTTTTTCACATTTATATTTTTCTTTGCTTCTATTGGTATATTTTAACTTCTTTTATTCATCGTGCCAATATACCCAATGTTTTGGCTCTCCAAAGTCTCAATTACTTTCAAACTGGTGAAGTAATTATCACTTTGTAACAAATATTTTTTGTCTGGTAAATTTTCTACCAATTTTAAAACAATTGACTCTCCGTGACTCATCTTGTTTTTTTGCTCTTTTTTCCCTCGTAAATTGTCATTCCACAACAATATTTTTATCATAAAGAAAAATACAATAAAATTTTAACCCATGTTTGGTTGGTTTGGTAGGACAATATTGTATACCTGAACATCTGCCTTTAAAACCAAACATTCTTTCATCAATACAGATTTGAAAACCAGGATTACAAGCAACTGTAATATTTCGGGAAAAAACATCAAAAATTTCTTTTGCCGCTGCGAAATTTGTTTCTTCTCTTTTTTCTTCTCTTTTTTTTATCATCGCAACGAAAACATCTAAACAATTCTTTAAACCCGTTTCTTTCCATTGCTATTTTTAAAAATAAAATCCCCAATTTTTGACTCCAAAGTCTGTCAGTATTGCTTTTACGTTGAAGGGCCCCAATATAGATCATAATTCCAAGAAAACAATATATTTCTTCATAATTTGTTTGGCGCCAATTCCCTTCTAATAGCTCCAAACCCTTGTAATTTGTACCATCAACTATTAATTTAGTCATTTCAAAGGAAAATAATTTTCTAAAACAGTCAAGTGGAGTTTCAAATATTTCGAAAAAGTAGTTTTTGAAAAATTTTCTTCGTTGCAATAATTTTTAAATGAGAAATTCCAGATTCTGGGTTCTATTTTTTCCCATCCATTTTCAAATGTTTTATTTTCGTTTTCAGGTAAATCTTCTTTTTCTATAAAATTTTGAATGTTATTTTCATCTTTGTCACAAAATTCAGAATCATTTCCTTTTTCATTTTCATCATCACTTGAAAAATAATTATCATCAGAAGTATCATCGAATTGCATGTTTTCTCTGAAAAAAATAACAAAGGCAAAAAACAAATTTGGTTATAAATTATTCAAAAATTGAGTTTTTTTGATTTTAGGACATTTGAGTGTTAATTAGTTCGAAAATAATAAAACCCGAAGTAAGAAAAAATAACAAAAACAACACTTTTGAGTTTTATTATCATAGTCTTATTTTTTGTTTAAATTTATTTAAATATATTGGGTTTTCACCTAAATTAATAAAATGCTTTATTTTTGTTTCTGGAACTATTTTTCGGTACTGTAAATTATACATTAATTATTATAAA